CCTAACTTAACTCTGGTGCCGTGTCACATATAGAAATTTTTTGGTATTTGCAACCATAGTAAAACAAAGACTTATATTTTGATATTTATTTTATATATTTAAATGCCATTTAACAAAGAAAAATCAACAAAAAAATGAGTTCGCGTGTCACCTCTGGCACGCGTGTCATAGGTTCGCCATCACTGTTCTAGACTCAACTCGGCAACAGATGGGATTATACTCAGAAGCCCCCATCTCTCTGTCTGTGTGTCCCTCCTCATCTCTGTGGCTCCACTTACCTCCTCCTTCAGGAGCCTCTACCCTCCACTAGTAAATCTTGTTCAGGGAAAGGCTGTGAAACTCATCCACCATGAGGTGTGCCCGGGCAATGAGACCAGGAACAGACTGCTATGTTACGCAGCATTGTTATGACAATAGCTGGCTGATACACTTGTCTATCCAATACCCATTCTTTTCTATTCCTTTAGAGGTAAACTGATTTTATTCTGGGCAGTAGTGTGCCTGGGCAGAAGACTATTTCTCAGCTTTTCATGGGGTGTAAGCAAAGGTTTTTGAGTGGGACTCCTAGGAAAGCTCCCTAAGAGGGGGTCAGAGAGCTCGCTGGGGGCCGCCAAAGGTCAGGGAGCTCCTTGGTATCATACACTCAGCACCCAATATGTTGAGGTGCCTTCCAGCAGTGGTGTTGGACCCCTCTGCATCATCCAGGCACTCTCTGCACTGCTTCAAGACCAGCCTTTGGCTCAGTTTATTGTCATGGTAACCTAGAAGATGCTTAGAGATCATCTAGCCTGCTTTTAAAAAAATACACAGAATTAGGGTCTGAGACGGGGAGAAGATTGTCTCGGGATCCATAGCAAGTCATATGCAGAGCTAAGAGTAGAACTTGATTAGTTCTTCACTCTCCCTCATACCTTCCTTCCTTGAGTGATGGCTGCCTGGTTGGGGTGGGGGGAGGGGTAACAGACTTGGGGTGGAATGTGGCTGGGAGCCCTGGTTCTGACAGCAGCTGCCTGGAATTCACAGGGGCTGGAACAGAGCTCGTCACACTGCAGGGACTCTATCTGGAGGCGGGTGCTGGGGCAGCCCTCCCCTTGGTCTCAGACCCTGGGTGCTGCCCTGGAGAACTGGGCTGGGTTGAATGGACCAGGTCCACAGGAACACCTTATGAACCCTTCTTGTATCATTTTTCCCAACTACTGCCCCACCACACCCCTTCCTGTTCAGGTCATCCAGGTAAACCAGCATCCTGCAATGACATGGGGACCCTGGAATGACATGAGGACCCTGGAATGACATGGGGACCCTGGTTTAGAGCCAGGGGAGCATACGTGAGTAGACGCTACTGATCCTGGGCCAGATGCTCTTTGCTGGGCCAGCACACCTTTCCTCTAACTGGTATGAATGTTGTTGCTAAGGGCTCATTGCCACACCTTTCTCTGGAGAACTGGCCTCAGCCCATAGGAGCCATTGTAACCAGAGATGCTGAGGTGCCTAGTAAGTCCTTTACCCACCCACCCCCATCCCCAGGGACAGCCAACAGCCAATGAATGACAGATACTGGGGAACAAAAGGCCAGTCCCTGGTCTCATGGTCAGACTAACTCTGTGCTACAATTCACGCCCAGAGCTCCCTGCAGTATTAGGATGAAGCAAGACGACTCCAGTTAAACCTCCCTCTTTGCTCATTCCCTCCCCTGCCCTCTCTTGCTTTCTTCACTCCCTTATGGGTCTCTCTTGAGGGCTCTCCTTCAATAAGTCACCTGCCCAGGAGCCCTCCCATCAGCCTCCGTTTCTACGGCAAGATGGACGCTTCTGAGCTCTCACCCCCACATGTGTCCTAGGAGACGGCCAAGAGGGTTCTAAGCTGAGCAGCAGCAGAAGTAGGTCATGGTGAAGAGAACGGAGGCTTTCCCAGGGAGGTGCTTAGCAACAGGATCCATCGATCAAATATTGACGAGGTATCCACTGTGTATCCAGCAGCTGCTTGACATTGGGGGGCCCGGTGGGGTGTGAAAGAAACGTAGCTCCTAGCCTGACCCTCTAAATTACGTCAAAGCACTTGGGTCTCTGTTAGGGCAGTCGCATAATGGCGATCAAGTGAGCACAAGGAACCTTGCAAATGCTTTTAATTTCTTTTAATGTAGAACAGTTACGCCTGAGTTACAGAGGAAGCGCTTACAAGCAGGTAGTTAAAGCGAATGCCGGGTTCTCTTTCTAGTCTACTACTCCATATAGCTGAATAAATTATGGTGCGATTATATTTAAACACACATCCTCGCGTCCACACGCACACCCCACGCACACGCCCATGCACACACGCTCACTTCCACTTGGAGGAAAATGGCTGCGAGTCAAACATGGATGCAACCAAGTTGCAGTTACTAGGAAGGAGGAACGATCTGAGTGCCGCGTAGATTGTTCCCAAGCAGGGGACCGGCCACCTTACAGTTGGCAGAGAATGCATTGGATGTGCCGTGTCTCTGAGCATTTCATGATGGCGGCTGGAGACCCCCCATTTGGTCTGGGTTTGGTGCCTCTGCAGGAGGGGAGGAGAGAAGATCCATCGACCTCAAAAAGCGTCCAAGAGTGAAGGGCGCATTTGGGAGCTTGGGGGGAAACTCCATCTGAGAGGGGCCCCAGAGGAAGTCCTTTTGGGGCAATCATGGAGTTTCGCCAAGTTCCACAATGCACAGCACAGGATGCTTCACCAGCTCCATGGACACGCTGGACTTGAGAGGCCAAAGCCTGGGACCTTCCTGTCCTCAAGCCACCGCCAGACCGGACATCCGCTCTCTGTTTTCTTCTGGGCCAACCTCTCTTCATCCTTCCCTTCTCTCTCATCCCCCCCACCCCCCCTCTTCTCCTCCATGTTCCTCTGGCAAAAGAACGGCAAAGGTAAATCAAGTAAAATATACGAGTATAAAAGCGTAGCTTGGTTCTTACACATTGGCTTTTTTTTTTTCCAAAGCAAGAGAGAAATACCGAACGGGAAAATAAAGCAATAAACATGAAAGAACCCAAGAGAGCCTGGAATGTATACTTTGAAACACACGATATGCAGATATATCCCTACAGATGGTCCCTGGTACTAGCACGACATACACTGTGGGGTTTCTTTCCTGTTGGATATATATTTATAGATAGAAAAGTCAACTTCCTATAGACGACAGCACATCACCACGTTTCCAACTAATGTACAATGAGCTCCGGAGAGGGGCCGCCCGTAGGTAGGGCCACCAGCGACGTGTGAGAAGCTGGAGGACACATCTCTTATTTTGCTACAGACTATTCAGAGGGATGGAGGGGGGTCGCTTCTGGGCTGGCCTAGCCGCTGGGGTTCAGGCTGTGGTCAACCCTCGAGAGTTTGAGGCCTTGTCCCTCTCATCCCACACCACCTCTCTGGTGACGTTGTGAGCTGCCAACCCAAGACTGAATTTTCTACACCGAGTTGGCTAAGCAAAGCCATGAGTGAGCTTTTAGGGAAAAGCTGTCTGGGCCAAGGTCTCTTTCTGAGGGGAGTGGGCACCTGGGGGAGTAAGTCCCATTTTCTACACCAAGATGGTGGCTTGGGAGAACTCCAGAGAAGCCGAGCGTAATGAGAAATCATTTGGTTTGTTCCCGTTTCATCACAGGGGGCAGAGATTTGGATTGGTCCCAGCATTGGAATGTCACCTGCCTGGCATCCCTGCGCCTGGGCGACGTAGGGCATAAAGAGGCTCAGGTGATTCCTGAGCCAGGTCTCCAGGAGGAAGGAGGGACCAGTCAAGGAATGTGGGTGAAGATTGTGGTCGAAGGAAGAGCTGCTTCCTGCTGGGAGAGCTACAGACGCGTGGACTGGGTCACCAAGGGTACAACAGTCCTCCTTCTGTCCAGAGCTTAACGAGCCAGAAGTCTGCTACAGCGGATGCTCCAGTTGAAACCTGGGCTGAGCTGGATGGGCCGCACACGTCTGGGTGTCTGCTGCTACTGAAGAGTCTGTGTGTCCCCAACTACTAGCAAGTTCCTCCAAGCCCGAGATACGAGCCCCCTGGCCTGGTCCAGGACAGGCGTCACATGACTGCGTCTGAAGCTGAGAAACAGGTGAGCATCTTTCACGGAGGTGACGCCCATGCGGGAGAGTGTCCCAGCTCCCCCGAGGGAGGAACTCAGCTCAACTCCCAACGCAGCAGCCCGTCCCTTTCGGAATGTCTTGTTGGCTGAGGGCAAGACATGGGGTGAGCAAAGAGGTGGCCTCGTGTGCCCCAAGGGGGACAAGCAATTTGGTCCAGTCTTTGTGGAGTCAGTGCCGTGCCTCCCATCACAGAGCCTCTTACCCAGCAGCACCTGAGAAAGGTGATCCAAGCGTAGATGACGATGGTGCTGATGGCGAAGATGAATATAATTTTGATAAATAGGTGAAGGTGGTGAAAGTTCCAAGGGTGGTGTAGCCTGGGGCTTAAGCCATTCCCCCAGGGTCTCAACTCTAAAGAGCAGGAGCTGGAGGGAGCCACTGGCGTGGCCAAGGAAGGTGGCCCCCTCTGCCCGGGGGTGGCGGTTTGAAGATTGGCCACATCTGTCCCTGCACAGCTGTGCTGGATCAGGAGACAGAGGCCTCTTGGCCGAGAGTGACTCAACACGGAAAGATGCCACTCTGGGTGGGGCAGGGTCATGTCCACTCGCCCCCCAAATGCCAAGGGGAATCGGTGGCCTTGTCTGTGGGACAGCAGTCCCTGTGGGCCCAAGGACCCTGCTCCAGAGCTGCAGGGGAGCCCCCTGCACCCAGCAGCCTAAAGGGACTCGCCGGGGGTGGAGGCCCCTCCTAGGAGATGAGCACGCAGGACGGGCTCCGGTCTCTGCGGAGGCTTCGTGTGGAACCAAAGCTACATAGCGCCGAGGTTTGCTGCCCAGAAGCAGAGGCACCCCAGTTACCAACCCCCTTCTGAGCCTGCCCTACGCCTCCTGCTCATGGGTCCTCAAGACTTCATTCCCTCCTTCTCCTCACCGCCCACCCCCCTACAGTGAATGGGAAAACTCAGGCTCCCCAGGCCCCACGTGGGGTGGCACAGTGGGAACTTGGGCTTCAGTAGAAGAGCCGGCTGCTTCTGGCTGCCTCACTGGTGCCTTGTATCTTGGGCTGGTCGCTGCTGACCCATACTCATATGGCCACACCCCTGGTTAAGTCTCTTCCTGGTTTTCCCAATCTCCCTGCTTGGGCTAGATTCCCCCTGACACCCAAGCGAGGTGTGCGGGGAGGAACCCAAAGTCAGACTTCCTGGGCAATTCCCCTGGGAAAACCCAGGGCTGGGTTCCCTCTCTGCTGGAGTCGCATCACCCAGAGGAGGGATGGGCTGGGGTTCTGACCCTGGGCCAGAGACCCACCTGGAGGGTCTGGCTCCCAGCACTTCCAGCGGAGAGTGGCCGTGAGCTCCTCCACCTCCGGCCAGGGTACCCACCGGCCCTCATCCCAGACCCCACCCTCCTCTGGGTGCTCATGGTGCCCTATGCAGGGCGAGCCTCCATCTCTGGGCCTCAGATGGCACAGGGGCCCCACAGTGACAGGGTTTGACTGGGACAAGGCTGTGGGCTGACCAGGAACCCCCCTGGGGACAAAGTAAAGGGGCAGACGCCGAGGTGGGGGTCACGCTAGGCCCCCAGCACAGGTGCATGCGAGGCTGGCTGCACGCCTCCAGAGGGCTGGCTATCACAAGGGAATGGGCTCCTTTCCTGGCTTCCTGGGACCCCAGGGCAATGAGGGGACTGAGGCTGGGAGGTTCAGGGACCAGTAAGGGTGAAGCTGGGCCTTGGGCTGGGGCAAGTCGCCCCAGGGGCCCTAGTAGGCTTGGCCGGTCTCCACGGGCAGGAGTCCCAGCACAGCAGAGTGCTCCCCGAGCTTCATGCGGCGCTGTGTGGAGAGGCTCACGTTTTTGGCCAGGTAATCAACAGCAGCTGGAAAAAAAGAAAAGAAACTCCTAGAAATTATAGTTATTTTTCCCTATTCTTTTATCTGTCCCATATCGATCCATTAAGCCATCCACCCACATATATATCCACCCATTCATTTATCCATACATCAGTTTGTCCATCCATCCATCCAGCCATTATCCACCCATCCATCTCTGCATAAAGCTCTTTCACCTCCGCTCCAATCATTCAGAAAATATTAACACTAAATAAAAACACAGCTCTCACGTGGGTTCTGTAGGGAAATCCAGAGGATAGCCACATTGTTGAGTGAAGGACCAGTCCCTCTTTCTGTACAGATCCCTTCTAGGGGGGGTGCCCAGTGAGTCCCACGGAGCCCAGGTAGTAAGGAGGGCAAGGTCCTTCTGCCTCCTTTGGCCCTGAGCCCAGCTCATGGATGAGGCAAAGCAAGGCCACTTACTCAAAACTCAAAGCAGTTTTTGCGGGTGAGCTGAGGGGTCCAGGCAGGGGAGGAGGCAGGGCCCTGACATGCAGGAAGCCGAGACCTTTAGTCTTATCAATTCTGGTCACCCAGGGGAGAGGGGGGAGAGTTTGAAGGTGTGTGTGTGTGTGTGTGTGTGCACAGTGGAAATAAGAAACTTGGAGAAGTAGCAATGGGCATGAACATGAATGCTCACACAAGTAGTACTTGCATATGCGCACCCACATTCACACAGATGTGGTTGAGTTGTGTGCACCTGCATGAGTAGAACAACAGTGGGGATGCTTATGCATGTGCAGGTAACTGTACAGGTGAGTTCCACCTGGGCCAGGTACATGTGTCGGAGTATGTGTGTGTGCACAGGTCTGACCACTAGGCCTGCATGCGCACATGTTGTCTTGACTGTATTAACTGTACCGGCCTGAGGCTACGGCAGAAATCAGCCCTGACCAAATGATTTGACTGGCATGTGAGCACTGCCTCCTGAGCTGCCGCTTCCCGAGCCGGCATCCGCGGCTGTGGCCCATCCAGCCCCTGGGATCTCTCAAGTTCAGAGGTCAGAGGAAGATGGAAAGATGGCTGCACTAGGAAGCACGAGGCTCTGCCCACCACCGGCTTCTTCACCTGCCTGAAGAGGGACCCTGTAACTCTACATGCCTCCCCAAAGTTGAGGGCTCCTGCCTGGGGTAGGTGGGCGGAGCTGGGAGGTGATGGGGCCTTTGAGCTAGAGGAGGCCATATGGCCTAGGGCAGGGGTGGGCAAACTTTTTGACTCGAGGGCCACAGTGGGTTCTTAAACTGGACCGGAGGGCCGGAACAAAAGCATGGATGGAGTGTTTGTGTGAACTAATATAAATTCAAAGTAAACATCATTACATAAAAGGGTACGGTCTTTTTTTTTTTTTAGTTTTCTTAATTTCAAACGGGCCGTAGTTTGCCCATGGCTGGCCTAGGGGGTCAAATGGCCGAGGTCCCAATCCTGGGCCTGCCAATTTTGAGGGTGTCATTGTGGGCGCCCCACTTCACCTATGCAAGCCTGTTTCCTGGTCTGTTAAATGGGGACAGTAACACAGCCAGGCTGAAGAGGTGAGAGAACTGAGTGGGAACGTGCCTGTAAAGGGGTTAGTTAGCACTGTGCCTGGCACACAGCGAGCTCAGCAGACATGGGCCTGCAGACTGGAATTTAGTGATCAGATGTGACCTTTGATGGGGCAACAGGGAAAGTGGGCAATTTGGAGCCCAACCGCCTCCTGTTCACGTGGCTTCGGGCAGATCACTGTGCTGGTGCAGGCCTGTTTCCTCGTCTATAACATGGAAAGAACAACTCTGCCTTCTCCAGGGCTGTTATGAGAACCTTGTGAGATAAGGTGCTTTAAGAGGCTGGGCAGAGAGGGCACTAACGAATGTGCTAATGCCCTGGGCCCTCTGAGCGGCTGGACCCTGTGCCCCTCGGCTTCCCAGCTCCAGGGCCGGCACTGAGCTGCTGGGTCGCCCCCGAGGTCACGCAGCCTTTACGCTCCCAGCTGGTCAGCAGAAGTGCCAGTGGCCACCTGTCCTGCTGGGTCTGCCCCTTGCTCTGAGTGGGCCTGGGACAGGCTCCCATCTCTGGCCCCTGTGACTCTGGCCACACCATCTCTGCTGCTCAGAGCCCCTCTTAGCTGGGCTCCAGGGCGAGCCCTCTGAGGAGGTCTACCTCAGAGTCACGATGGGAACAGCAGGAGGAGGAGCTAACATTTACCTGAGTTGCTCCTGCTCTAAGCAGCTCATGAAGCCTTATCATCCCCATGTTACAGATGGAACTGAGGCCCTTCCCTGAAAGATCACATAGCTCCTAAGTTGTGGAGGCAGGATTCAAACCCAGGCTGTCTACTGCAAGCTCCTATCTACCACCCCCCGCCCCTTCCCCAACATCACCCAGCGCCTCCTATAGAACAGCTCCGGTACGTGCACAGCAGTTTAGAGCGTATGAGGCACACCCCAGATCCTGCGTGGCCCCACTTCTCACTCCAGGAAATGTACGAGTCTATTCCAAGGGCACGAGGCCCAGTCGGGTGACGTTGCCCGAGTCTCCAAAGGCTCTGCCTCCGCCTCCATATTCCACATCACGCTGACCTCTGATGCCAGCCTCCCTGGCTCCTCCTGAGGACGGGGCGGGAAGGTCTGGCTTCGACAACAGTGATGAGAACAACAAAGCGAGAGCCCTCACAGGTGAGCACCTACTATGTGCTAGGCGGACATGATCTCACTGAGTTCTTTCAACAGCCCATGCTTTAGGTCTGGCTCTCCCCATTTTACAAAGGTGGAAACTGAGGCACAGAAAGATTGCTGGCCCAGAATCACCCACAGCATGTGAGATGGCAGAGGCCGAATCTGTCCTGTTTGCACCTCTGGTCTCTGTTACTTCCTCTTTAGCTTCTCCCAGTTACCAGCCATGGCCCAGCACACAGTAGGAGCTTCCCTAGGCCCCGTCAAGGTGAGCAAGGAAACATGGAGAAGCCAAACTTTACTGATGACCCAGCCAACTTCAAGGGCACCCATAACACCGCACGGCCTGCCGCTCCCTGGGGTCCAGCCTGGGCCGGTGAGGGCAGGGCTGTGGCATTTCTCATTACGGCTTCTGTCAGCGGCCCTCCCTGTCCCTCTGTCTCTCCGTGTCTCCCCTTCTCTGCCCGGTACCCACGCTTGGGCTCTAAACGTCTCAAATTAGATTAATCGGGAGTTGGCAGGAGATGTGGCTGTGATGCCAACCCGTAAACAAATCTCAGCCGTCAGCATCTTGTCAGCCCGCGGCCCCAGAGGAGGACCCTTCCAGACACAAACTCTTATTAGACTTGTCAGATCTATTAAAATTCTCTTCACACTTCTGCGTTCTATCAGCCCCATCATTAGGACGGCCCTGGCCTCTGGGAACACCGGGGCCATATTAATCTGCCGTGTGCCCTGTCCCTGTCCCCTGCCCCCCTACCC